AATGTCAAACAAGATAATAATCAATTTTACTAGATTAGACAAATGGCAATTTTAAAAGACACTTTTTGCTTAGCATGGTGAAAATATAAACAAGCAATAATACACCATGATGGTGAAGACATGGAGAGGAGTGTGCTTCTTTACCATTAAGGAAGGGCAGTTTAGCTCCAATGAGATCTAGACACATATATACACTCTGACCTGTTAATTCTACTTTCTGTCCATCTCTTGTGGGAAATATTCTTGTAAATAAGAATATGTGTGCAGAATATTCACAGAAGCATAATTTATAACAGAAATTCTGGAGACAACTTATACATCTATCAACTAGAGAATGGGAAAATGTGTTATGGATGGTTACCAGTCATTTGAAAAGAATAAGTAGATTTTAAGAACCAAGACAAAATTATATCCACGCTTTATAGACAAAGTAAATACAAAAAACAAGTTCACAAAACAATTTGTAAAATATGATCCTATGTTAGGCTAAATACAAACAAAAGAACCACACGTAGTCACTTTTGTATAGAGGTAGCAAATGGTCTGAAGTATATACCACACTTTCAAACTGTGATCACTTCTAGCAACTGTGAGCAGCAGCAAGGCCAGAAGAACCTTAGTATTTTATTTATATTCACTGCTGTATGGTATGACATGATTTTATTTCCTTTTCAGTAAGCATATATTAATGTAGTTTTAAAAATACCCCCTGCCTTTATCTCTACAGAAATTAAAAAATTAGCTTGGTGGCTCAGCCTGTAATCTCAGCACTTTGGGAGGCCGAGGCAAGTGAACCGCCTGAGCCCACAGGTTCAAGACCAGCCCAGACAACTTGGCGAGAACTAGTCTCTACAAAAAATCAAAAATTAGCCAGGCATGTTAGTACATGCCTATAGTTCCAGCTACTTGGAAGGCTAAGGCAGAAGGATTGCCAGAGCCCAGGAGGTCGACATTTGGGTGGCCCTGAGTGTGTCACTGCACTCCAGCCTGGGCGACGGAGTGAGACTCCAACTCAAAAAAAAAAAAAAAATTAGCTGGGCATGGTGGCATGTGTCTTAAATTTCCAGCTATTCGTAACCCTGAGGTGGGGCAATCACTTGAGCCCAGGAGGTTGAGGCTGCAGTGAGCTATGATTATGCCAGGAGGTCAAGGCTTCAGTGAGCCACACTCATGCCACTGTGCTCCAGCCTGTTTCTTTAAAACAGACCCTGAGACCCTATTTCTTAAAAAAAAAAAAAGAAAAAAAGAAAGAAAGAACTCCCACCCCACCCTTCACATCATAGTTTGTTTAATAATACTAAGAGTGGGTCAAAGGCTCTGGTAGTCTCATTAACATGGTCTTTTGCAAACCAATCAATTAATTCATAAGAGCTGCATAAACTAATTACATTAATGGAAAAGCAGAAAAGATTTAGTATATGCTAACCTATAACAGGTCTGCTGATGTGCCTCACTTTTACCATCCCTAGCAGGTGTTCCTGCCAGGCCAGCTTTTCCTGCCAGGTTGCCAGGACAGGTAGAGCTTCTGTGAAACTGGCAGAGACCATTTTCATATTTAATGTCTTGACCCTTTTGTCTGAAAGCTCTTTATATGTGATCCAAGCAGCAAGCCTTGAGGCAGGCATGCCCCACAGGTTGTGGCTCAATTAAATCTGCTTCCTATACAATCCACTCTCAACATTTAGGCCAGTATTACAGAGCTGGAAGAAACCAAAGCAAAGAAAGACCAGATGTGAGGTTGAAAGTCCTCCTAGGCAGTTCCCTCTTTAACCTGAAGATCTTTTGAACTAGGGATAGAAATCCCTATCAAGGACATTTGGCAGCCAAGGAGACCAGCCCTACTCATTTAGTTCATCTGACTTTCCCCTGTTTTTTCTTCCAAAGGTTGAGACAGTTATCTTGTAGTGATTCTAGATGAATCCTTTAAAGAAAGAAAAGATTTGGAATCACCCACCTTTATGATGCTGAAGATTCTTCCCTTACACTAAGAGCCATTCTCAAACAGAGTACTAAATTAATTGCTTGCTTTTTAAGGGTTAATTTCATTATGATCTATCACCAAATGACTAGAGAGGGCACTGGTGCTCTACTCCACCCTTCTAAAGATCTTAATTAAAAATCTACCAACATGACTGGAAGACTCAATACAGTTATCAATTCTTCACAAATTGCTATACAGATTTAGTATATTTCCAGTCAAAATTCCAGCATCACTTTTTGTAGAAATCAATAGATCCTAAATTTGAAAGACAATGGAACTAGAATATCTAAAACAATTCTGAAAAAATAGTAACAAAGTTGCAAAGGCAGTTCAATGGCAAAAGGACAGTCTTGTCAACAAAGAGTGCCAAATCAATTGAACATCTATTTGTAAAAAACTGAATCCTGATCCGTACCTCACATCATATAAAAAATTCAAAATGGGTCATAAACCTAAATGTAAAACTTAAAGCTATAAAATTCCTGGAAAAAAAACCTTAGTGACCTGGCTGGGCTCAGTGGCTCAGCCTGTAATCCCTACATTTTGGGAGGCCAAGACGAATGGATTGCCTGAGCCCGTGGGTCTTGAGACCTCATCTCTACCATAAATAAAAAATTAGCTGGGCGCGGTAGCGCATGCCTATAGTTCCAGCTACTTGGAAGGCTAAGGGGGAAGGATCACCAGAGCCCAGCAGGTCAACTCTGGGGTGGCCGTGAGTGTGCCACTGCACTCTAGCCTGGGTGGCAGAGTGAGACTCCAACTCAAAAAAAAAATAAAAAAGAAAAAAAGAATCTCTGCTCTTCAAAAGATACTGTTAAGGGAATAAAAAGACAAGTCACAGATTGGGGGAAAATTACATATTTGATAAGTGACTTCTATCCAATATATATACAGAACTCACAACACAATAATAAGAAAACAACCTAATTTTAAAAAATGAGCATAAGACTTATATAGACATATCATTAGATATAAGGATGACAAATAATCACATTAATAATGCTCAGTATCATTAGTCATTAGGGAGATGTAAATTAAATCCATAATGAGGGCTACCACAGTGGCTCATGGCTGTAATCCCAGTACCTTGGGAGGCCGAGACAGGAGGATAGCTTGAGCTCAGAAGTTTAAGACCAGCCTAGACAACAGAGGAAGACCTCGTCTGTACAAAAATTTTTTTAAAATAGCGTCTGAGTGGCACGTGCCTATAGTCCCAGCAACTGGGGAAGCTGAGACAGGAGGATTGCCTGAGCCCAGGCTGTGGTGAGCTGTGATTGTGCCAGTGCACTCCAGCCTGGATGACAAAATAAGACTCTGACTAAGAAAAAAAAAACAAAATTAAATCCATAATGAGATGTCAATACATATCTACTAGAATGGCTAAAACTTAAAAAATCTGACAATATTAAGTGCTAGGGAGAATGCACTGCAACTAGAAATCCCATGAACTTCTAATAGGAATGCAAAATGATACTTTGGCAGTTTCTTATAAAGTTAAACATATATTTTCTAGGGTCCAGCAATCCCATTCCTAGGTATATACCCAAGTGAAATGAATGCTTATGTTCATACAAAAACCTACATGTGAATGTTTATAGTGGCTTTATTTGTAATTGCAAAACACTGTATATGACCCAAATGTCCCTCAACTTGGGAAGGCATAAACTGAAGTATAGGCATACGATGAGATAATACTTGGCAGTGAAAAGGAACAAATTACTAATATATACAGCAACATGTATGAATTTCAAATGTATTATTCTAAGTGAAAGGGCCAGACTCAAAAGGCTACAAACTGCATTATTTCATCTATATGACATTCTGGAAAAAGCAAAACTTTTTCTGATAGACATCAGAGCAGTGGTTGCCAGGGATAAAGGAAGGGTGAGGAGCTGACCACAAAGGGAAATGGGAAAATTTTTTGGTGTAATCAAACTGCTCTGTATTTTAATTGTGGTGATAGTTATACAACTGTATTTGTCAAAACTCACAAAACTATACACAAAAAAGGATAAATTTTACTACATCTAAATTATAACTTTTTTTAAGAACTCCAAACGGAAACCATAAAATACAAAACAAAACTATTGTGAAAATGACCATAAAGTTTCTGTGTGCCAGAAGAGAACACTTTTTAAATAGGACAATTACAAGTAAAGTCTACAATGTCATACACATATGCACATGTTCTCTTTGCCACCCTCTGCCCTCTGACAGGGCATTTCAAAGGAAGTCATCTCATCCCCCACTCTTACCTGAACCATGAACTGTCTTAGAGTCTTCATAATACCCCACGAAGAACCTAATACCTTCCAGTTATAGAGCTGGGAAAGGTCACACAAGTTCCTTCAAACCGCAGTGGGAACTCCATTGCCCCTTCTCATTCTTCCTTAGGAGAACAGGGGCTGACACATATTCTCCAGCAGTGCACACTCACCTCTGTTGTGATTGCACCTGCATTGACAGGCTGGATCTCAGTACTGCAGCACTCATTCCCTTACAGAGGAAACTGAATTTTGCAGAGGCAACGAAAGTAGGCCAAGGCGACAGAGCACTCTAGTTACGGGGTGGCAGCCAATCACGGGCCCCTCCCCAGGAGTGTCTCACTCTGAGGTCAGGACTCAAAAAGCAGAGTCTGTGCCGTCAGCCTGAACCCAATGGGACTGACCTGTTGGACTTGTTTTTCCACAGCATTAACTTGGGGGCTTTATGATTTGAAATCCCAGTTCAATCTCTGCCATGGCGCTGGTGGTCTCTCCTCCCACAGTCATTACCTAGTCCGGCCTAACCTTTTCCTTGCCTTGCATGCTGAAGGTGGCAGCCAACTCCAACCCTGGGCATATTATTCAGGCATTAGAAACTAAAGGCCATAATGCATCCACCACCTCAGACTGTCATGAAACCCAACTGTTCAATCCAAGGAACATCATAGGTACACCAACTTCCCCTTCCACTTAGGATCACAAACTTTCAAAAATTCCTTTGGAGTTATTTCTGCCAGGGAGTAAGGGGAACATACCTTTTGTTTTTCCGTCCACTGACACCGGCTTCTTGGTCTCTGCTGTTAATAACAGCTCATAAGGGTGCTCATCCTCCTCCCTGGCTGCACTCCCCTGAATCCTGGGTCTCGTGGCTAGGACCTGAGAGAGAGAAACACCCAGTGCATCTTCTGCATGTAGCTAATACTAAGATAGGCAGTGCTGAACAAATTTGAGATTACCGGTTCCTTTCTCATCTGGGAGGAAGGGAGATGGGGACAAGAATGTGAGTTATTCAAGTGTCACACGGACTCACAACTGCATTTCTAGATATACACCTGTACGTCAAATCTCAATGGCCTTTGATTATGCTCCCCTCTCTTTGTCTCATTTTATTCTTCAAAAGATGATAAATAAAATCCAACATCCTTCCTTCCATGGCTTCTCCCACATCCACAGTGTTCTGCATGATTGTTTTTCTGAGGATAATACTTCCCACTCTTAGCCATGCTCCATCATAAAGGCTGGCCTTCTCCATGTTGCCTTCCTAATATGCACACATACTATTCAAAGGCTGGAATCCTTACCTTCTCACAAGGGAACCAAAATGGCTGCTGACTGACCCTCAACACTTTACATTTATCAGAAACAAAGTGGTGATGAGCTCAACTCTATTTTTGTAAGTCATTCTTCAAAGGCTCTGGGGGTTATAGGGAAGAATTTCCCAAAAACTGGTTTCCTACCATATTTATGATAATAAAAATTTCAATTAGATTCACCAATCTCTGTTCTAAAGAGTCAAGTAGGCCAGGTGTGGTGGCTTATGCCTATAATCCCAGCACTTTGGGAAGCTGAGGCAGGAGGATCACTGAGATCAGGAGTTTTGAAATCAGCCTAGGCAACATAGCAAGACCATGTCTCTACAAAAAATTAAAAATTAGCTGCGTGAGGTGGCACACACCTGTAGTTCCCACTACTTGGGAGGCTGAGGCAGAAGGATTATCTGAGTCCAGGAAGTCAAGGCTGTGACCATGCCACTGCACTCCAGCCTGGGTGACAGAGTGAGATTCCAACTCAAAATAAAATAAAATAAAGTGGCTAGGAAGTTTAAATTACAGTGGAGCAAAAAGCAGCTCTGTCTACTGACAAATCCCTAATCCAAGAAGTCAGTGTGAAATAACGAAACCAGTTGGCTCCTACACCTGCCAACTGCGAGGCTTTGGTCAGCTAAGGGCCGGTGGCCACAGCTAATCATAGTATTAGAGTAGCCAAGCTTTCCTTCAAATCAAGCTGGAAACACCACGATTAGTGCTACAGCCACACTGGGAGAATAGAGATTCATGCTTTAGAGGATAATTCTGGCACAGCTTTCCTAAGAATCCAATGTGTTTCATAGGCAGAATAAGAATAAGCTAGTATTAATAATAATACTATTAGAAAAGTAAACCAAAGCACAAATCTCTTCCTGAGCAGTTTGGTTAGGACAAGTCGTGTATTATGAACAAGGGGGTAGGGGTGGAGGGAATTTCCAGTTCCACTTAACAAATGATTGCACCCTAAAAATGTGATTCCCTGGCACACACAAAGCCTCCTCCTACACGGACATGTCTCCCAGCTGGCTGGAAATGCATCAGGTTTGTAATTCATCAGGGTTTTGCTTCTTGAGGCATGGCTCTGTGTTATGTCCTAATGAGACAACAAGGACTTCAGCAGCCTCAGACTAAATGAGAAACTGCAGCTCCTGTTTGTTAACAAGGCTGCCACTCTAAAGGCAGAAGAATAGTCTCTTTCCAAAATTCTGCTAAGCGCAGCAGGAACTGCCCAACCGTTACTGCAAGCTACCTGGAAGCTAAAAGCTATTTCATTACAATAAGCCATGAGACCTTATTACTTACTCCTTACCTCTTCATATGAACACAATTAGTGGAACAAAGAGGGACCATTAAGCAGTTCACACTGTGTCAACGTAATACCACAGGCTTTACAGACAGGAATTTGTGTTCTACAGGTTTACACACCCATAGCTATCGCTTAAGCAGAGTCCTGAAAATCTGATTTGGTGAGTGTTCTGCACACAGCAAGAGCTCTCACATAGCCCCAGGCATGCTTCCTTGAGAGGTGGGTAATTGACAGCCTGGGTGCCCGGCCTATGCAAGGGAGGGCTGATGACTACCATCTGGAAAACAGGCCCACTGGACCTGCCTTCACTCTATGCCGGACTCTTCCATTTGTGCAGGGCAAATGGAAGCAGAGAACCATCAGATGTCAGAGGTGAAAGGGATCCTAACCATCAAAGTCATAGCTAGAAAGTCCCTGATTCCATCCTTTCATTTGTAGATGATAAACTGGATTCCGAGAGAGGTCCAGGGACATGCCCAAGGTTACACAGAGAGCTCACAACAGAACCACAGCCATAAAATTCAATTCCCCTGATTCTGGACCAGATTGGCCTCATTTTTTCTGGCTTTCATTTTTTCTCCATCCAATTTGGAATCCTTTCTCTCCTTCAGGGGATTCTCATCAGATTCCCTTGCTCATATCCAGACAAGTAGGGTGATCTTTTCTTCTTGGCCCCTATCAGCTATGGGATTAAAATCTCACAATAAAGCAATAAACCATTTTTCTTCAAGTCTTCCTAGCTTCCACTCAAGAAGCTCAGTGTCATAGTAAATATGGCAATAACTGATTTTCAGCAGAAAGGATTCTGCTCTTTACTAAGTTATTCCTTAATCTTTTTTTCCCTTTCCTCCAGGGCTGGTAATAAATCAAAATTGAAAAAAAATATTTTTTGCTATGTGGAAAGCAACATTTCTGCTGCAGAGAAAAGATATGAGCAGTCACCACCTAACTGTGACCAGTGGAATGTCCAGTTGGGGTACTGGTAACTTCCTGAGAAGAGATACCACAACAGCTGCAGCCTGTGGTATTCAGATGAGCATTCAGCCCCCATCTGAGTACAGAGAAGACCACAGTCAGTCCTGAGGCAGCTGGCAGCCCATTCTTTGGGCAAAATATCTAAAAATAAATAAAAATATCTAAATAGCATGTGTGTTGGGGGGGGAGTGTGTCTAATGTTTTGAGCCAGTTTCATGATCAGGTCATTAACCTGATAAGCTCTCCTAGAAGTAGGTGTACTCCAGCTTCCCTTAAAGGCGTCTACGGCTCATCTAACAATAAGTCTCAGGTATAGGGACACAAACACTGGGGAACACTGCTTGCCAAATATAAAGGCCTAAGTATGATGAAGTCAGCATCTCCTGAGATCTGAGGTTTAGGATACCAAAGCTTTAACAGAATAAGAAAAGATAAGCCTGGTACAGTGGCTCATGCCTGTAATCCAAGCACTTTGGGAGGTGGAGGCAAGGGGATTGCTTGAGCCCAGGAGTTTGAGACAACCCTGGGCAACTTGATGAAAACTTGTCTCTACAATAATTCAAAAAATTAGCAGGGCATGGTGGCACACTTGTAGTTCCAGCTACTTGGAAGGCTGAGGTGGAAGGACTGCCTGAGCCCAGCAGGTCGAGACTACAGTAGCCATGAACATGCCACTGCATTCTGGATAGACTGAGACTCTGAACAAACCTCCGCCTCCAAAAAAGGAAAGAAAAGACCTAGCATATGAACAAAATCTGCCTGGCACATTAAAAGGATAATGAACCAGGCCATATTAGAATACCTGTATATTCACGTACCCATAATCACCAGTAAGCAAATTCAGGGTTCTCACCATCTTCCAAATACTACGCTGACTACACTGGCTCAACTTATCTAGAATTCCAGGCTATTCAAAAGCAAGATCTAGAAAATATAACTCAGATAAACTCTGTCATCTAGGAGAGATTTCCCCTTCCTCCCCCACTCCTACCACCTCTTGACATTGTTCTTACAACACTGTAGGCTTGAGAAAGTCTTGAGAGAATAGAAAGTCCAGAGTATAATCCAGTATTTATTTAAGAGCCCTGCCCCATCCTTGGGCATCAAAAATTTTTATTCAAGTCCTTGATAAAGAAGTGGTACAAGGCATTTACAGAGACCCAGTCCCAAATTAATATGCTCCGTATTAACAGGTTTTCCTGCATAAAAAAGGGAGCAATTAAGCAAAACTCTATATAAAAATGTGTAAAGATTTATCGCGTGCACTTTATCTACTAGAAATGTATTCTTACTCAGAGATGAAAAGAAGAGGCTGCAATTCTAAAGCCCCTTAGACATGATAATAAGTATTTTGTAACTAAGGGACAGAAAGAATTAAGGACAGAATTTGTACATAGCATAGAAATCATTCCCTATCTCCAACACTGACTTTTACTTTTTTTTTTTTTGAGTTGGAGTCTCAACTCTGTCGCCCAGACTGGAGTGCAGTGGCACACTCCTGGCCACTGCAGCTCTGACCTGCTGGACTCAGGCAATCCTCCCGGCTCAGCCTTCCAGGTAGCCGGAACTACAGGCGTAGGCTACCATGCCTGGCTAATTTTTTATTTATTGTAGAGATGAGGTCTCGCCAAGTTGCCTAGGTGGGTCTCAAACATGTGGGCTCAGGCAATCCACTCACCTCGGCCTCCCAAAGTGCTGGGATTACAGGCTAAGCCACGGCCAACTTTTACGTTTTAAAAAGGCTTTCCTTGGCCAGGCTCGGTGGCTCAACCTGTAATGCCAGCACTTTGGGAGGCCAAGGTGAGTGGATTGCCTGAGCCTGCAGGGCAAGTTGGTGAGAACTTGTCTCTACAATAAATCAAAAAATTTAGCCGGGCGTGGTAGTGAGCACGCCTGTACTTCCAGCTACTTGGAAGGCTGAGGCGGAAGGATCACTGGACCCGGCAGGTCGAGGCTGCGGTGGCCGGGAGCGGCCACTGCACTCCAGTCTGGATGACAGAGTGAGACTCCAACTCAAAAATAAATAAATAAATAATAAATAAATAAAAAGGCTTTCCTTGTATTTATACATTTTGCTAAACTAAAGCCATCCAAGCATCTTTCTGGTCCCTTGTGTTTATGTTTATACTGAATAAAATACCCTATCTTGCTAGTCCCATGTGTTTATGTTTATATTGAATAAAATAACCTATCCATGGCAGTATTATAAAAATGATTAGCCCCAACTTCTAGGAATAAAGTGATAAGACTTAATTAACTGGTTTATATTAGCTGATTTTTAAGTCAGAGAACAACAGGGCATTGAATGAGCTACAAAATGACTATTAAAATTATAAAATATTTTGAATAAGTATAAACATATTCTCTGAATGGCAGGAAGTGTTAAAGGAGCATTGTGAAGATGAACGATCAAGGAAAACATAATTTTCTTCACACATCTAAGTGACTGCCTCATAACTGTTCTTTTTTTAAAAAGTAGACTATTCCTTTTCTAATAAATTTCTTTGATCTTCCTGCCTTCCCATTCCACATAATTCCTATTTCTTTTCTAACTGAGTCTTCATGACTCAATTCATGTTTGTCCCGGTGTAAAGTCTTCACGTGAAATGAACAGGGAAAAATATAAAAAAAGAAATAAGATGCTTGGGGCAGAACCACCAAAGCTTGCTAAAGTGACATGGTCTAGACAATAGTGATTAGGGGAAGACTCCACATCTTGTATCAAAGGCAACACAGGTATAAAAGCAAAAAGTGAGGCTGTTCAACTTACTGGAGCCGGGAGAAAATGTGCATGTTTTACTTTCCATGTAGTAAATCAATAATTGGCCTATCTGCTAGAGTTATATTAAAATTCTTTGTTTAGTACTCTTGATGAGTTTGAAAGGTCTTGTTCCAGATTACTGATGCACAGAATACAAGCTTACAATGCAAACAGATAAGAAAGAAAGCACAGTCTTTTAAAGCACACATTGATAGGTTTTTCAACAAATTCAAATTTCAGTGATGGGAATAGACCCTCAACCTTTACCTCAGAAGCTGTCAAGGGAAAATACTTCTTATCTATGTGGTCTTCCTCCTCTTCATCAGGTGGTGGCTTTGCTGGAGGCGGTGGACGTTCCCTCTGCAGAAGAGGAAAAAAATAAATATTCTGCCATCTCTCTGTTCAAGCATCTAACTTTTTGGTTTGCCCTTATTTTAGCCTTGGAAATGAAAAAGAATAATGTAAAGAACTCCCTGAGAGACTAAAGTCAAGGTTTAGTCTCTGAACAGATGGAGAACCCCGTGCATACATACACAATTCAATTAGCATGCTCTATGGTTTTGATGTCTGTAGCAGAGATCATAAACACCTCTTTCATATCCTAGACCACAGTGATAAATGCCAGTGCTGAAAGTCGTATAACTGCCTTGTTATAAATGTCCTTCATAATCCTGATGCATAAAACTTTAGTTTAGGAAAATCAGTGGCTCAACTTTCCGTCTACACTAAAAAGAGGAAACAATAGATCAAAAGAATCAAAAACTTGCAAGATAGTTCTAACAAACCAAAGTTACTGAGGAAGTAATGAGAAAAGTAATCAAGGACAAAACCATCAATTCCTATTCAAACTTTAATGCTCTGAAACCAGTCTATCCCCATCTATTAGCAGAAAGCTCAAAACTGGTCTCTTATCTTATACTTGGTTTCCTCCTTCAAGAATAAGTATTAGATAAAACCTTTTCTCATCTAAACCCATTTTAAAAATAAATATGTCGAGAACAGACAACTGACCAAAAAAAAAAGCAGCTCTTTCTTAAAGGGCCAGATACTAAGTATTTTAGGCTTTGCAGTCAAACTCTCTCTGCCACTGTGGTACAAAGTGGCACAGATGATATGTAAATGAATGAGTGTGGCTATGTTCCAATAAAACTTTATTTACAAAACAGGCAGCCAATTCCAGACTATAGTTTGCCAGCCCCTAACCTAGAGCAAGAAACTGAAGAGGAGACAATGGATAAATTAGATCATGGGTAAACAATTTCAGGAGTACACAAAATGATCTTGGTGAAGGAAACCTGAAAACTAAAAGCTGAAGAGAGGTCTGCAATTGTAGTACCTTTACCACTGGTTATATTCCAAAGTCCTGGTCATGCCTGATAATCAGTTTTCTCACTAAAGGGGTTGGAGCCTGAAACAGGAGTTGCCCTGCAGGCTCATTCCCTGGCTTGCAGATTAGTTCACAGTGCTGTTAAGGGAGTATTTCATAAAGCTAGGCCAGAGGTGAGTGCTGAGTTATGCAAAATCCTCAGCGAAATCCCCAAGGAAAGAGGTTTCTTATGCTTTAGGAGCCACCAGTATCAGCATTTTGATATCCTTAATCACTCTCTTAAAACATACTTTGCAGCCGGGTATGGTGGCTCAGCCTGTAATCCCGCGCCTTTGGGAGGCTGAGGTGAGTGGATTGCCTGAGCCTGTGGGTTTGAGACCTGCCTGGGCAGCGAGACCTCATCTCTACAATAAATCAAAAGATCATCTGGGCGTGGTAGCGCATGCCTGTAATTCCGGCTACTGGGAAGGCTGAGGCGGAAGGATCGCCAGAGCCCAGCAGGCCGAGGCTGCAATGGCCACTCCAGTCTGGGCGACACAGTGAGACTCCAACTCAAAAAAACAAAACAAAACATACTTTGCTGCTCAGTAATCTTTCTTGGTAAGTGGGTCATTCCATAGTCCTTGGGACCAGGTGGATGCCCAATGGCAACAACTCCAAAATACAGTGTTTAAGCTAAACAAAGTTATTTAGGTCAGATTTCCCACGGAGTTCTATGCTCCCCACCCTGCTTTGCTCTGGAAGTCAGGAACCTGGTCCCAGTGCCATCTTCTAAGGAAGGGACAAGCAAAAGGAACAGGCTCATATGCTCCACCAGTTAATCAACCTTGGGACACAAGTAGCTGAGAGGAAAAAAAATGAAACAACAAAAAGACCCATCCTAGAAGCCTTGCCAAGGCTAAAAAACCCAGAAAGAACAATATGAAAGCCTTTTGTGAAAAGAAGTGATCATCGGACACTGGAAGGAAAGAGAAGTCCCCAGGAGTCTCTTGTTTTCCAACATGAAAACTCTGGAGCAGAGACCTGGAAGTAGAGCTGAGCTACAGACCATCCGTTGTGTTTGCCAAGATGTGGAAAGGCCCTTGCCATCCCTAATTTCCCAGGGCCAGGAAGACAGCACAGCATACACAAGGCCGAGTGGCAAAGCATGCACCCCAAGATATACTCATTTCCACTTAGCAGGACCACAGGATGCTAGATTCCTAGAGCAGGGTGGAACAAAGAGGCTGATGTAAATCAATCTCAGGATCTCGGTTATCCTCTGCTTACTTTAGTCACTCTGTGCTGCTTCTTGCAAGAGCTCCAGCTCCCCCTAATGGGCATCACTTGTAAGTGCAAATTAAAGCAAGGCCTTCCTCCACAGCTGGATTTGCTTAATTCATGTGTGCCTACCAAGCAAATGAGGAGGGAAAAACTAGCTCTGTCTATGAAAGCATTGCTAACGGTGCTCAGCACAGGCACTTGCTTCCATCACTCACAAGGAGTTTTGTCACGGTCCTTGACAATACCTACTCCATTCAGCTACCATAGACTGTGGGCCTTTCCAGGACCCAGACTGAAATTCTGGGAAGACCTCAGGGCAGGGCAGGGCAAGGAGCCTAACAAAAAAGAACACTCCTAGAGTCATCAGGCCATTCTCAGTGCACACCTGAAAAGACCAAGAATTATCTGGCAGCCAAGGATCATCAAAACAGCCATAAGCCAGATTTAGACCACAAGGGAAAGGTCAGTCTCTCCAACAAGAAGTAACAACAGACACCAGAAATTGGCTCAGGATGAGGTGAACACTGGGGTTCTATCAGAACAGTGGCCAGTTTAGTGAATGAGCAGTGCTCAAAACCTCAAATTATTGTGCCTGGATGTACAGGAAAGAGGGTCAGTGGGACCAGTGATTCAGGCCTAGACTCACAGCATAACCCTTGGGGAGAAGATGGGGTAAGGAGTCTTGAGAATAACGTGCAAGACTAGAATTAAAAGCAAGCATAGACAATTTCCAATTTGCAGGGGTTCTGCTTATAAAATTTCAACTTTATCATGGTGTGAAAGCAAAAAGCATTCAGTAGGAACCGTTCTTTCTTGAGACAAGGTCTTGTTCTGTCACCTAGGCTGCAGTGCAATAGCACTATCACAGATCACTGTAACCTCAAACTCCCAGGCTCAAGGGATCCTTCTACCTCAGCATCCTGGGTAGCTGGTACTTCAGGTACACACCACTATGCTCAGGAAATTTTTATTTTATTTTTTTGTAGAGGTAGGCCCTGCTATGTTGCTGAGGTTGGTCTCAAATACCTGGCCTCAAGTTATCCTCTCGCCTCAGCCTCCCAAAGCTCTGGGATTACAGGCGTGAGCCACTGCACCTGACCAGAAACCATAATTTGAGTACCCATATAACCATTCTATTTTTCACTTTTTGCAGAAAATACTTTTAGTACAATATTCAACAAATGAGATAGTCAAAATTTTAGTATAAAATAGGTTTTAGGGCAACCCTCTTGGGTTCCCTCCCACACTGGGAGCTTTTCTACCCTTTCAATAAATCCTGCTTTCTCAACTTTAAAAAATAAAAAAATAAAATAAAATAGGCTTTGTGTTAGATGATTTTGCCCAATTGTAGGCTAATGTAAGTGTCTGTGAGCACATTTAAGGTAAACTAGGCTAAGTTATGGTGTTTGGTAGATTTGGTATATTAAACACATTTTTCACTTATAACATTTTCACCTTACAGTGGGTTTATTGGGACATACCCCTACTGTAAACTGAGGAGCACCTGTATTAGAGAAAGAAGCAGCGATATGGAAAGGCAGGCCTTGAGAAGGAAAAATGCAGAGTTCCCATCATATTATCCATGGCTGAAGGTTTTATAATCAGATACAATGGCACACACTAATAAATATGATCTCTGATTAAGCCTTGCCGCAACTCTGCTGAATAAAGAACCTGCCCAAATCCAAATGGAGAATTCCTTGAGGACAAATGGAAGGTAAGCATGTACTCAGGGCAGATGGGACTCAGTTACAGTCTTCCACTGTAAATGCTCTCCAGAGAGAAAACAGACAATATATAGCAAAGACCCCAAAGACAGAAGAAACACTAAGGCTAAAGAGAAAATAAATGCTTTAACTTGCTCTACAGCTAAATGAAGTAACAGAAAGATGCAGACTGGTTATACTAAAATTGGAAAAACTGAAGTTCTACCTTGGCAGAGCCCCATGAAGAGGAGCAGAACAAGCGAGCTCCAAGTCCTGGAATGGGAGCTGACTACCCCCTTCCCCATGCCCCACCACAGCACAGGCCAACCAGCCAACACAGCCCCAGGAAGATTAAGGCCGTGGGCCACGCACAGGCCTCACTCCAGCAGTTTTCACTCCGGCTGCCTCAGCCTCCTTGTTCATGGAGTCAGAGGACCGTCCACTGGCCATGCTGTCCAACGAATGGCAGGAAACAGCATTGTACAGTGCCTCGTAGGGACCCTCCTCTTCCGCATTTGTGTCAAAATCGATCACCAGGTCAGTCGCTGCTTTCTCCGCGTCACCTGAAGAGGAGATTGGAAGACAAGAGAATGGATAAAAGAGGAGCACAAGCTCAGGTTCCAACCACGCAGCAGCCCACAGCCTCTTCAGCCACCCGAACACACTAAACACCAACCAGAGCAGGAAAATGATTACTTTGCTTCATGGACAGGAATAAACCTAGTTTCAGCTGCTCTTTCTACCCTGAGATCTCAGCAGACTTTTCTCTAATTCAACATGGAAAACCCTTGACATCTATAAAGGATACCTCCCAAGACATTTATAAAATCCCTAAATACCTCAGTACCATGATAGCGTAAACATAACCCATAAAATGCAGCAAGGTATAACTAAAAAACTTAAGAAGTCCTTTAAGTTCTTGAATAAGAGCCTCCACATGCCCAAGCAAAACAGAAGACAGCAAAGCCTTTCTGAGCTGGAGTGTTATGCAGCTATTAGACTCACTTGCTAGATAACTCCCAACCTCAGAGCACCTGGGATACAAATTTGTGACTTCCAAAATTATCAACTGTTAGAGATCAGGTATCTCTGGGCATTTGCAAATAGTTAAAACTATAAATGTAAAATTCTTGACAGCTAAGAGTTTCACAAACTACCAATTCCATTACTAGCAGATTATGAGGTCAAGAAAAAAATCTGTGGGGGGAGGGAGATAAGGAACCCACAGTAACAACAGCTGGGCATCTTTTAACCCTTGTATCTCTGCACTCCTCTGAAAAACACCCACCCCACCCCCTTTTTTTTTTAAGAGACAGGATCTTGCTCTGCCACCCAAGTTGGCGCATAGTGATGTGATCGGAGTTTATTGCAACGAACACTAGAGTTCAAGTGATCCTCCCACGTCAGCCTCCCAAGCAGCTAGGACTACAGGCGCGCCCATCATGTTGAGCTAATTTTATCTATTTATTTTTGTAGAGACAGGGTCTAGCTCTGTTGCCCAGGCTGGTCTTGAACTCCTAGCCTCAAGCAATCCTCCCACCTTGGCCTCCCACAGTGCTGTGCTTACAAGCATGAGTCCCTGCACCCAGGTCAAAAATCCCTTTCCCTCTTTCATCGTTTAGCTTTGTTTTGCTCTCTAGGCTTCTTTATTATGATCTGTATTTGGAGGAAGGTGCCAGTCAGTCTTAATTCTGTCACTGTCATTCATCATTTCAAGGCCCAGAAGTCTACTCAATAAATCTGAAAAAGGAGATCCTGACTAGGATGGATAAGCTGAAGTCCCTAAGCTCGCATCCAGACCACATTTGTTAGTCAAACAATATATTACCAAAATCTGCATGTATACATCTGCCAACCAGATGACACGCATTAAATATTCACTGGGGGTCAACTCTGCACAAGGCACAATGTGTGTTAGAAAAAGGTGTGGCTGGGCACGGTGGTTCACTCCTGTAATCACAACAGCACTTTGGGAGGTGCGAGTGAGAGAAATGCCTAAGCCCGAGTTTGAGACCAGCCTGGGAAACTTTGGTGAGACCTCATCCCTACAATAAAACCAAAAAATCAGCCAGGTGTGGTGGTGCATGCCTGTAGTTCCAGCTACTTGGAAAGCTGAGGTGGAAAGATCAGCTGAACCCAGCAAGTTGAGGCTGCAGCGACCATAATCGTGCCATCGCACCCCAGCCTGGGTGAAAGAGTGAGACTGACTCAAAAAAAAAAGAAGGTATCACCAGAATTAGAATTCACCCTGAGATGATCCTCCCTACTGCACATTCCAGAATAGATCTTATTCAGCCAACTGTAGAAAGGGAGAATAAAATAAAGTAGGAAAGAAGAGGCCCACAGCCAAAGGTCTAAGCTATCAAATAAAACTTCACGTTAGCTGGAAAAAAAACGAATTCAATATAAGCTTATGAAGCACTCACAACCCCCTACAATTATTATTTAAATTAAGATTTTCCATTCTGCCCCAGAATATCCAACTCTATTCAAGCTGAACTCCCCTGGTGGAGAAGAGTCACCTTACCCTGAGACTTCTGTGATACTGAATCCATACTGGAGATGAGAAGTGGCTGCGGTGTGGGGGTTTTATCTACTTCTTTTGCACTTCTTTTTCCAGTCATGTGATCTACATTGAAAGATTAAAAGACAGCTGCACCAAATACAAATGCCTTGCTTTGGTTAGTGTGTCCCCTGGCCACCCAGACAGGGAGATGGGCTGATACCTTCAATTAGTGCTGCTATCTGCTGGCTCTTTTGAGAAGGCAGTTCCCGGACAGTGTCTAGGGCAGTCAGTCCATGGTTATCTTTTATGTTGACATCAATTCCTAGAAAGGCACATCAGGTGGACCAGGGGAGTGAGCATCCTCAAGCCAGCCTCAGAGAAGGACAAATTCCAGGACACCTAAGGCTCCCAGCGGCATGACCAACATTTTTCATCCAAAGCCATTTAATCCAGCTATTCAAGAACAATCCACAGACTTGTAGTCAACCAGTGGAGATATACAAACATTGGGTTCAAATGCAGCCAGCAAAAATCCCCCTCTGGGGAGGCTAGGGAGAAACATCCCAACCCTGGCATGCTGTATAGACAAGAGCGCTGCCGACCTCTCACCTGCAGCCAGCAGGATTTGCACCACATCGGTCTTGCCAAACAAAGCAGCCTCATGCAAAGCACTGCCCATCTCCGTCTGGAAAGCAAACGAGAGCGCAGAGCGGATGTCATCAGAACAGTTTGGCGTGGCTTCACACGACAAACAGGACACAGACAAGAAGGGACACAAAATAAAATAAGCCACACAAAGCCCTCTGTCATTATCTTTCCAACTTTTCTTGTTTGGATTTCAAAACCACAATCATAGCAAATACATCAAGGCCACTTCTGTGCCACCAGTAGGCCACATGTGCTGAACAGTTGCTCTTGGAGTCACCTATTGGTGAGACTTCTCAAAACTACCTTTCTGGTTGGATGGAGCAACAGGAAGAAAGGTACAAGGGAAGAAAAACACCTTCACTTCAAATGCAGTTTGCTCAGCAGAAAAATCTAAGGAATCATTCATGTGAGTGGGGAAGGTTAACAGTGAAGGGAAAGCGAAGTCTCCTGTCGGCAGTACCAAATTCATGAGACTTTGGAGGCCAGTGGAAACACATGTATAGGAAGATAATGAAACTTTTCTAATATGGAGGGATAGTCCATAAGCACATCTTTTCAGGGTTGAATGACTATAGATTGCCCCCTGAAAAGAAACAAAAAAAGAATAAACTCACTTGAGTTCATTTGTTTCTAAAGTTTTGCATTAAAACAAGTCAACAAATGAAAGCATCTGAAATGTGATGTGAAACGTGCTAAATAGAGAACACAGCCCAGCAGCATGGTCCGTGTGCCTTTTCCCAGATGACTAAGTCCCTTTGGCCCAGGAAGATCATCTGCCCGCCCTGCTACCTGGTAGTTGCTGTCCATGCCAGCATCAAGGAGGACCTGGACCACGGCTTTATGACCGTTCCTTGCTGCCAGATGCAGAGGGGTGTGCTTCTTAGTGTTGCAGCTCAAGAGGTTGGGGTGCGCATTGAGCAGCATCTTCACCACCTCCAGGCGCCCATACAGCGCTGCCAGGTCCAGAGGGGTCTCAAATTTGTTGTTACGCATGGTGGGGTCGGTCAGCTCCTCTAAGAGTACCTTCACCACCTCCGTGTGGCCATACTGTGCTGCACAATGCAGGGCTGTCTCGTTGTCATTGTTCTAAAGGGTGAACAAACAGATCAATCAGAAAAGTGTCTGGCAGACTGGCATCGAATTGGGATAATCACATGTAAAACCACTGAAATTTAAATGAGGAAAATAGCAGCCAATAATTAGGGATTAATAAAAGTCAGAATCTAGGCACATTGCCCGCAATCAATTCTGACTGCTCTAATCAGCCACATCTTCCCACAGTGACTGCAAGAGGGGGTCATCTCTTCAGCACTGGCAGTATCCACGTGCCATGAAGGAAGGGTCTCCACACTATAAAGGGAGCGAACCAGGGAATGTGGCAGGCATTTGGTAGAAGCCTTGGCACAGATAAATGCCAATAATATCACTGCCATTGTTTCTTTTTTTTTTTTGAGTTGGAGTCTCACTCTGTCGCCCAGACTGGAGTGCAGTGGCCGCTCCCGGCCATCGCAGCCTCGACCTGCTGGGCTCCGGTGATCCTTCCTCCTCAGCCTTCCAAGTAGCTGGAACTACAGGCGTGCACTACCACGCCCGGCTAATTTTAGATTTATTGTAGAGATGAGGTCTCGCAAAGTTGCCCAGGCGGGTCTCAAACCCACGGGCTCAGGCAATTCACTCACCTCAGCCTCCCAAAGCACGGGATTACAGGCCACCGAGCCCAGCTCACTGTTTCATTTTAAACTTCAACTGGTTTTACAGCAATTTGTACTTAACTCAACCCCTTGTTTCTGATTCTGATTTATCCTTACACGTAAGTTTTTTAAAAAAAAAAAGTTTGCTGTCTGTGTAGCTTCTTGCATGCAAATCAACCAGCCAACAATGAAAGTAACAGAGCAGAGCACTGAAAATCATTCTCAAGGTATCAGCCAACAGCCATTTCCAGGGGAAGGAGGCATTCGGGCTCAGTCAAGAGGAAATTGGGAACCTGGTGCTGTACTGCACCTGCTCCAGGAGCCTGCACCAACCAATGCATGCAGTATTTACTTCATTAAAATGGTAGACAGTGCAGGAAAGTGTTTCCTATATAAGAAAGATGCCACCAGATGCTGGAATGTCATATATGAGAGGTGCAAAATATATTTAAATGTAACACTACCATCAATTCAAGCTCACAACCCATAGTCCTCTAATGTCATTTGTGCTTCAAACTAAAGACAGAATCTAGGATCAAATGGGAGAATTTTGTGCTTTATCAACCATCAGAAGCAAAATGTTAGTTATTCCAATTATGCTCTTTCTTTTACTACTATTGACAATGTATGATTAGAGCAGAAATGAAGTAATTTTCATGAAGTCCCCTTTTTGAGAAGCACAATGAAAATAACTCTCTCACAAGATTTTGAGATTCCTAAATTTATCCAGGAGGCTTCTGCTACTTTTGGAAATGAAGTTTAAGAGGGGGTTTGTTCATCAAGTCAATATTGTGCACCTTTCAGTAGTCAAAAGGTAAAAATTAAATGTTTCTACAGTTGCTTTAATTCTGTTAAAAACATTAAAAGTAACAGATCAGGAGTTACCCAAACATGCATGCAATTCCATCTGCTTTTGATCTGGCATTTGTATCATTTTTTCCAGCTATACCACGTTTACTAGAAAGATCCAGAGCTCCTGGGAGCAAGCCCCCAAAAGGTCAAAATGACAGCAAAGAACATTTTTAAAACAAAACAAGGATAGAAAAGTTGGTAGCAGGAGCCACATGCAAAGATAAATGCACACAGATAAACAGAGGATCAGAGGATGCAGAGAAGTTGCACCGAGCTCAAACACAGCTCGAGGAGAGCAGCTGCTGAGAAAGTACAGACAGCCCTTGCCAGCTAGAGAGCACAGCCAGTCAGCAGCAGCCTCCCATGACACACCTGGTCCCGAGAGGACACGTGCCACATCAACCTACAAGTCTGAAGGAAGAGGAAACCCTGGGCAGATACAAATCCTTGAGGTTCCCTGCCAAACAAACCATTCAGGACACCTGTTTGGAATGCCCATTTCCAATTAAGCTATGTCATGAGTTCCCTGAGCTGTTACCTCACTACCTCTTGAAGAAAGGACAACTACGTCAACAAAAACTCATAGGCTCTTTCTATAGAGTAATTCTGGGACAGAATTACTGAATAGGATTATCTGGATTTACATCTCAAGATCAGCATAACAGCAAGGGTCAAGAAAGTCAACATCTTATTAAATCTCCAGTCCAGAAAAACTTCTGTTTACACTGAAGCAAATGCTATTGTCTCTTTTATATCAAAGTTGCATCCCAACAACTAGAATAATTTGTCTTTTATTTTACAAAAAGGATGCCATTAGGATAAAAAAACCTGTAAGACTCTAAACCACCCAGAAAAAAAAAAAAAAAAAAAGTTAAGAAGAAGAAGAAAAAGGAGAAGGAGAGAAAGGAGGCGAAAGAGGCGAGGGAGGCGGAGCGAGAGGAGGGGGAGGAGAAGAGGGAGGAGGAGAGGGAAGAGGAAGAAGTCTTTTCAATTTCTCTTTTTTTTTTGAGTTGGAGTCTCACTCTGTCACCCAGGCTGGAGTGCAGTGGCCGCTCCCGGCCACTGCAGCCTCGACCTGCTGGGCTCCGGCGATCATTCCGCCTCAGCCTTCCAAGCAGCTGAAACTACAGGTGCTCACTACCACGCCTGGCTAATTTTTGATTGATTATAGAGATGAGGTCTCGCCAAGTTATCCAGGTGGGTCCTGAACCCGCTAGCTCAGGCAATCCACTCACCTCAGCCTCCCAAAGGTGCAGGATTACAGGCTGAGCCACTGAGCCTGGCTTCAATTTCTTTTTTACTGGAATGAAGGCAACTGTCACAAAGCTGTCCTTCCAGGCAAGGTCTTGATCACTACTGGAAAATTTCCTGCTTCATGTTAAAAATGGTCTAACCACGTCTCTGCAGAAAGTTATGCTCATAACTTAGAGCATTTTACTTAGATTTCAGTCTTGCCAGACACAGTCTGGTAACTATAATGTTCAAGTTTACATCTGTGGTAACCACATCTCTCTAACACTGAACACAGGCCATCACAATGACCTCTTATTACCGTTTCCTCTTTGAGGCTGTCAACTATCAGAACAGGAACTATCAGTGATTCTCAACTCTGCTTCCTTTTGGAATTACATGGGAACCTAAAAATAACTAGTAGGAGGCCAACCCCAGATGTGCCTCAGAAAGTAAGGCCCAGGAAACTGTTATTAAGTGTTGATTCATGGACCCATAAGAAATGCAGGGATTCTAAAGAGAAGCACAGACTCCTAGCCATCTGGAATCTTTCCGTTTTACACCTTGCAGATCACACTACAGGTGCTCACATACCTCAACAGTTCCCAGAATCATACTATTATGAGGCTGGACTGAGGAAGGGGAGTGAGATGAAACACCCCAATTTTCCCCAAAATCTTTGCAAAAACTCTCCTTTCCTATCCATCCTGAGGCCCACTTTCATTTTTTCTTGCTATGGTCAGTACTTCTAAGAAAAAGGGAATCCCTACCCCCTATCTCTTACATCTGAAGATTCATTCAATGTATAAATCCATCATATATATGCATAAACTACAAGAAGCAGAAAACCCTACAGAAACACTTCCATGGCCTTTCTCCTCCTGGAACTATTTCAGGACCACCACCTACCTCCCAGTGCTTAGATTACAGCCCAACTGCACACATATCCATTGTGGACAGATGCTTAAGTTGGGGGCCTGGCCTATAGCTCTCTGCAGCAACAAAGGTATAGGTTCTAGAAACATATCATACTTGGAAAGAAAGGAAAAACTGGGTCTAATGAGATTGAGATGATAGAAAAAACATGGGAACAAGCCCATCATGAAGAAGAAGGGTTAGACTTACTCTTTAATGCTCTGGAAAACAGAACCCTGACCAAAAGACAGAAGGTTTAGGAAGACAGATATCAACCAAATCTATGAAACCCAGTATCAATGGAATTCAAAACTAGGCTGCCAAGTAGTAATGAATTCTGTTTGTTATTAGGAAAAATAAACAAATAAATAAGGGATCAATGGCCCACCTTTTAGGTGATGGAGGGAAAAAGATATCTGCTGTGGGTGGAAAGCTGGTTTACACTAGTAGTTCTCAACCCAGTCTCATTTTGGAATTACATGAGTACTAAAAAATAAATAAATAAAAATAACCAGTAGTAGGTCCAACCCCAGTTTTGTAGGCAACAGCATAAGCAATCAATCAACATCAATAAGACAAACCTGACAAGTGAGGTAAATCTAAGAAAAATATTTTTTTTAATTTAAAAAAAGGATAAGACAAATCAACATCACGAACCTTGTGATGTGATGCATTAAAAAGTACATAATATCACTTCTGTGGCATTCCTGCTGAAAAATCTATAACCTGAATCTAATCATAAGAAAATATCAGACAAAGCTAGTCCGAGAGAGTCTACAAAACAAACGGCCTATGCTCTTTTAAAAAATGTCAATGTTGGCCGGGCTCGGTGGCTTAGCCTGTAATCCCAGCACTTTGGGAGGCCAAGATGAGTGGATCACCTGACCCCGCCTGTTCGAGACCAGCCCAAGCAACTTGGCGAGACCTACAATAAATAGAAAAAATTAGCCGGGCATGATAGCATGCGCCTATAGTTCTGGCTACTTGGAAGGCTGAGATAAAAGGATCGCCGGTCAACACTGGGGTGGCCATGAGAGTGCCACTGCACTCCAGCCTGGGTAACAAAGTAAGACTCCAACTCAAAAAAAAAAAATTCAATGTCATAAAAGACTAAGAAGGCCAAGGAACTGTTCCATATTATGTATGATCCAGGATTGGATCCTGGACCAGAATTTGAAACCTTCCCTAAAGGACATTATTAATACAATTAGCAAAATTTGATCATGAATTATATATCAGGTAACAGTATCAATATTGAATTCTCTAAATTTGATCCTTGTATTGTGATTTTTAAGTGATGTCCTTATTCTTAGGAGATTTAGGTTGAAGAACTAAGTTGAAGTATTTATGTTGAAAGGGTCATAATTCCCACGACTTAATCTCAAATATTTCACCATC